TTGTAAACCGATTAAATTACCTGTTTGGGTCTCGTCTAATAGGTCTCTGTGAAACACCAGACACAAATTCTGATGTAAAAATTTCCGATGGAGCTCTTGATCCTCTATCAGGACTGTCAAGTACTACTACATCAGGATCCCCGTACTTTGACGATGTACTGGCACTTTCTTGTATGCATGTAGGAGAGACTTCTTTACTATTACTCAAATTAGTTGAGGACCTAAATTTCCTCCTAAAGGTCTCTTCCACCTGATCCAAAGACGAATCCATCCTTTGACGAGTTTGAGTTGAAATTAAACCACTACGCCTTTTGCTCGGAGAAATTATAAAACCGTCATCGAAAGTTCTTGATGATTTGGGATTATAACTAGACCTACGGCTTGAATACGTCACAATGTCTGTTGAAGATTTATATTTTTTCCTAAGACGAATTCCATTGAATCTTGCAGAAAAATCATTATTCGGCTCACGATCCACTTCGGTCCCGTTTGTCAAATCCGATGAACCAGATCTCTTACGATTTCTTTTCACAATGATAACTTCTTCATCTGGAAATTTGTAGACGTTTTAGTACGTTTAAGACAATGTGATTGATCAATGTTAATAATTTCATTGATAGACTTTATAAAATGTGGAATGACTTTGTCCTTGACTTTGCAACTCCCGTACCCGTTGAATTACTTAAGTAATTTGAATTCGTATTTGAAGGTGGTGAAGTAGCGTTTGTTGAACTAGTTGAAGGAGATGTTGAAGATGATGATATTGAAGATGATATTGAAGATGATATTGAAGTATTTCTACATATTTCCTTTCCCTTTCCATATCTAGAAATTTGCGGAGATGTATTTCGACTCAACAATTGCGTTTTCAACAGCGGATTTTTAATCTTTCCAGGTGGAAGCACGTTCAAATCAGAGTCAAAATATTTTTCAATTAAATTTTTAAATTTATCGTCATCCATTGGCTTTTTCTTGACACTTTTTTTCGAATTTAAATGACTCATAAATTCCTTGATATATAAAGAAGACAAAAATTATAATAAATAAATTTAGGAATTATTGAAACCTTTAATCACACGGATATTTCTTTACCTTGAAAGCATCTAAATCACGTGTAATACATAAAATAGACATTTGCTCACAGTGTGGTGGAGGGGGAGACGAATGATTTTTATCACATACAATAACTTGAGTTCTTGCACGAATCTGTAACATCGCAAGGTCGGATTTGGATTGGATTTGAAACTCGATTGTATCAATGCCTTTATCTATTTGCATTCGGATAATATGTTCGTTCGCGCAAGTAAGATTCACAAAATTGTCCGTCGTTGTAATAGCGTGTTGGTGGTCGTTGCACCAGACATGTACTCCAAAGCCATTACAACAACAATCTACGACCACCAAGGGCACGCTCAAGTGCAAGGAATTAGCACTCGTATTCTTTTTTTCGAGACAATAGCTCATCAGAAAATTAATATAATTAATATAAAAGCATGTGTTTTGCAAGTATTTATGGTATAGCAAA